AGGAAGGAAGGAAGGAAGGGAGGAAGGAAGGAAGGAAGGAAGGAAGGAAGGAAGGAAGGAAGGAAGGAAGGGAGGAAGGAAGGAAGGAAGGAAGGAAGGAAGGAAGGAAGGAAGGAAGGGAGATTCATTTTAAAAAGTCATCTTGTGATTGTGGGGGCTGTCAAGTCCAAACTCTGTAGAGCAGATGATAGGCTGGAAATTCAGGGAAGAGTTGATGGATGTTGAAGTCTTGAGTTTGAAATCTGCAGCCTGGAACTCAGGCAGGTTTGTTTCAGTCTCAAAAGTAGAATTGCTTCTTCTTTGGGAAAGCTCAGTTTTTGTTCTTAAGGTTTTAAACTTATTAGATGAGGCCCACCCACATTATAGACTTTACTCAAAGTCTACTTACTTAAATGCTTATCATACCTGAAAAAAATACTTTTGTGGCAATATCTATACAGGTGTTTGACCAAACAACTGGGCAACATAGCCTAGCCAAGGTGACACGTAAAATGAACCATCATAGTAGGAAATGCATCATGATGTTAATAATTACCTCTAAAGTGTGGATAGTTTCTGTGTATTTCAAACTTTCTACATTAACCATGTACTATTAGAAGAAAAAAAGAAAGAGAAGATCATCGTTTGGGAGAGACAGCATAAGAAAGCCCTTAGGAAGTTTTTGAATCACCTCTTACTGTGGACTTCTCCTTGCAGGGAAATATTAAATGTTGTAGGTTCCGTTCCAGAGCACCACAATAGAGTGAATATCGCCATAAAGCAAGTCACACAAATTTTTGGTTTCCCAGCATATAAAAATTATGTTTATACTATACTGTAGTCTATTAAGTATACAATAGTATTATGTCTCAAAAAATTACATGCCTTAATTTTTAAAAACTTTATTTCTAAAAAATGTTGATCATCATCTGAATATTCAGTGAAGTGTCATATTTTTTGCTGGTGGAGGGTCTTGCCTCAATATTGATGGCTGGGGACTGATCAGGGTGGTAGTTACCAAAGTTTGAGGTGGCTTTGGCAATTTCTTAAAACAGGACAATAAAGTTAGCTTCATTGATTGACTCCCTTTTATTAGTGATTTCTTTGGAGCATGAAATGTTGTTTGATAGCATTTTACCCACAGTAAAATATCTTTCAAAACTGGAGTCAGTCTTCTCAAACCCTGCCACTGCTTTATCAACAAGGTTTATGCAATATTCTAAATCTTTGGTTGTCATGTCAACAACCTTCACAGGATTTTCTCCAGGAGTAGATTCCACCTCAAGAAACCACTTTCTTTGCTTATCTATAAGAAGCCACCCCTTGCCCTGGCCAGTGTCTCAGTGGTTAGAGGATCAGGGTTTGATCCCCAGTCAAGAGAGCGTACCTGGGTTACTCTCACATTGATGTTTCTCTATTTCTCTTTCTCTCTCACTCTCCCTTCCTCTCTCTAAAAATAAAACAAAACAACAACAAATAAAGTCTGGGAAAGAGTACAGAATTTGGCAATAGACCAGATTGAAAATTATTCCAAGTCAAAGGTAAAGTACAAGCAAAGGCTAAGCAGTGGTAGCACTGGGCTTGACTGAAGTGGCAAGATCACCCTTGGGATAAATAAGAAAAATTTAGTAGGTAAGGAGAAAGGGAAAACTAATGGAAGACCCCGTAGGCAAGAATGAGGTATTTTGTATTATACTGCCATGGATTCTTTTTCTTGGGGGGGGGGTATGTTTTTTATTGTTGTTAATCCTCACCTGAGAATATTTTTCCATTGACCTTTAGAGAAAGTGAAAGGGAGGGAGAGAGACAGAGAGAGAGAAACATTGATGTGAAAGAGACACATCGATTGGTTGCCTCTCAATGCACCCAACCAGGGCCAGGGATTGAGCCTGCAACCAAGGTACGTGCCCTTGACTAGAATGGAACCTGGGATCCTTCAGTCCGTGAGTCGATTCTCTATCCACTGAGCCAAACTGGCTAGGGCCTGCCATGAATTCCTAAATAATTTTTCCATAAGTACTCCCAGAAAGAAGTCCAGGGGAGATTCATGAACATTAGAAACCTGGAGAACAGAGGAGGAGGGAAAAATGCTGGGCTTGGAGTCAGTCAGCAGAGCTGGGTTTGAGATTGTCTTTGCCTCTTTCTCACGTATCACAAAAGGAAACTCAACCTCTCTTATGCTTAGTTTCCTCATCTATAAAATGGGTATGATAATACCTATTTTAGGCGATTCTATATAAAAATGATTAGCTAGCACAGTGTCTGGCATGCATGTTGGGTACCAGTTGTCCTGTAACTGTTCTGGGTGCATTGTGCTCCTACAGAAAAATAAAGATTTAAGCACTAGAGATAGAGGGCCTTGAGAAATCATTCTAACACATCCCTCACATTGTAAAATAAAGAAATGGTATTCAGAGGCATTGTGTGGTTTGAGAACATGTTCCTTATCTATTCATCACCATGTAGTCCCCAGTGTTGGACATAGCGTCAAACAAAGTGGGTGCTCTATAAGTGCTGAATGAATGAAGGAATGGTCTTGAGTCACACTGCTGGTGGCTGAGCCAGGGCTAGAGGCCACCTCTCCCCATTAAGACACACAACTCCAGGGATGGGAACAGTCATGTTTCACAAAGCTTCTCTAAGTTCCTCCCCTTTATCTCAGACCCTAGTCCATTACCCTAGCACTAGTATCTCCAATAATGGCTTCCCCTAAACAAACAACTTTGTCTCTTGCTGGAAACATGTTCCTAACAAGGTTTCCTGAACAAGGCCGGGAGAGTGATGATAGCGGTAATCAGCCACAGCGTAGCGATTCCTTGCAATGCAGCCAAAAATTTGGTGCTATCAACCCATAAGATTGTATCCAGAAAAGGGGGTCAGGGAGACCTCTGAGAAACAGCTTTTTAGTTTTGTCCTGGCTTAGGATGTCTAGTTTTCTACACAGTTTATTTTAGGATATCCAAAAAGATGCTTGGCTGATATTTTATGACTCAAATATTCCTGCCAGAATCTTCGAGCCAACCAACTATTAGTTGTCCTTACTCTTCACTGAAATAATAGGGTATAAGCCTGAAATTAAAAATTCCTCTCTAAGGGAAAAAACAAAATATTTTGCCATGTTAAAATAGCAGACCTTGCCACAGTTGATATCTGTATAGAATTCTTACAAAACTTGGATGTGATCCCTCTTTGTTTCGTTGTGAGGTGATTTTATGGCTTCAATTTTGACACCAACTGGAGCCCTGCCACTCTGCTCTTTGCTGGTTAAGCTCCCATTGGTTAAGAAGTTGGGCAAATTGGCCACATCAGTGGTGTTCCAATGTCAGGTCCCAGCAGACAGCTACGGCTCCTGATGGGGGCAGAGAAGCTTTGGTGATCACAGGAAAATTCTCTCCATCTCCCTCTGGTGGGTCTCAACCCATCAGCACGACAGCACAAAAAAGGAGTTGTAAGTGATCCATACAATGAAGACCAAAGTGCTGAGCACCCAGGAGTATCTCAGGTCCCTCTTTGCCACTCGAAGGTAATGAAAAGAAGGAAGGGACTTACCTCAGTGAGGGTAACAACTCACCAAGCTTCCATTTTCTACTCCTTTCATACAACATTGTCTCTGAACCAATTAGCTCAGCAGCACAGAAAAGATATATCTACACTAATAAAAGAGAAACATGGTAATTGGCGTACGACCGCTACCCTTTTCATTGGCTAATCAGTGAGTATATGCAAATTAACTGTCAGCCAAGATGGCAGCCAGCAGCCAGGCACTGAAGCGAGCAGGGAGGCTTGCTTGCTGCAGACTCCAACGTTCCCCGCCT